GGGGGATACGAGGGGTGGAGGAGGGGGTCGGAAGGAAGCCATAAATCACTTAAAGTAGCAGTTACAGTAACATAATTGGGATTTGCCGGATTCGAACCAACATCTGGATGATTAAAAGTCATAAGTATTGCCATTATACTAAAACCCCTTAAATTATCAAATACTACTACACAATTGAAGATAAGTCCTACCTCCTCAAGTTATAATAGCTAAATAATAAATTAGTACCCCTCAACAAAACCCCCCCCCGCAAGCTTGCGGGGGTTTAGAAGTGGGGGACTCTGGTCATTTATCACAATAATCAGGGGCTGAGGCTTAATAATCTTTTAAGCCCACCGTTAATTCGCAACCCCCTCCTTTGCTCCGCACCCCCCGCAAACCTGCGGGGCCCCTCCCCGCAGGTTTGCGGGGGGGGGAGGGGGAAGAGGAGGGGGGAGTGGTTGTTCTTTTGTTTAACCTAAGGCTCCTGAGGCGGAGCCTTATCACAACCTTACTCGATTATTTTTATTAAGAACCTCAATAGTATACGGAAATGTACAAAAATAGTCAAACAACATCTACAAAATGTCAGTATAAAATTCCACCCTCAAAACCTACATGATGGTTGTCAGTTAAATGGTAAGCAAATATTCTTCATAAAGCTACCGCTAAGAAAATTGTCCCTATTATAACGTGTATCCCATGAAACCCTGTAGAAAAGAAAAAACATGTACCAAAAGCACCATCACTAATAGTGAAAGATGATACACTATACTCAACACCTTGGAAGCCTGTAAATATTATTGCTAATAAAATAGTGGCGATTGAACCATATAGAGCTCCTTCTCTTTCTCCTTTAATTAAAGCATGATGAGCGTAAGTGATTGTCGCACCACTAGATAAAAGTATCACTGTATTTAGAAGAGGTAATTCGAAAGGATTTACAGGTTCTATACCTATAGGTGGTCATTGAGCTCCTAATTCAACAGTAGGTGTTAATGCGCTATGAAAGAAAGCTCAAAAGATAGCTAAAAAAAATAGAGCTTCAGATACTATAAATAGTATAATACCTAAATTTAATCCCCTTTGCACTGCTAGAGTATGATCCCCTAAAAAAGTTCCTTCAGATATTATATCTCTAAATCATAAAAACATAGCTGAAACTAGTCCAATTAAAGCTATGTAATATAAATAATGAATATTATTAAAATTATGCATAGATAACGCACCAGTAGTTGTTAGATTTAATAGACAAACACTAGTATTTAAAGGTCAAGGAGATGGAGATACTAAATGAAAAGGATGATCCTGGAAATTACTTCTTATTAAATTAGTCATTTGAATCCATTTATTATAATAAAACAATTAATTTAATTTACATTTTCTATAAATATATATATGTATATGTATATATATAGATTACAGCTATAGAGCCGCAAGGCGTCTAATTATTTTTACCCCCCGCAAACCTGCCCCCCCTGCAGTACTGCAGGGTCCCCGCCCTGCAGTACTGCAGGGGGTGGGGAAGGGGAGGGGGAAGGCCAGGGATACTTCCCCCCTTCGGGGGCCTTCCTTAGCCGAAGGCTTCTGCCTTCCTTATGTGCTAAGCCTAGACTTCGTAGCATAAGTGGGCCCTAGCCATTGAAAAAAAAAAATGCAGAATATAGCTATTATAGCTATTTAATTAGTGGTTTGGTTTCTATAGAAGGGCGCTCCGCTCCCCTCTAAATTCCTGCCTTCTCCACTAATAGCCTCTAAGATGAATCGAACATCTATCCTAATATTAACAGTATTATGCTCTACCGTTGAGCTATAGAAGCTCATTAATATTAATAATTAATATTAATATTAATATTTAATCTTTAGACTAGCAATGAAGCCCTGAAGCTCATTCCTATAGGAGAGAAAGGAATTGAACCTTCGACGACTAATTAGTCATTAAGTTTACAGCTTAACCCGTCATACCAACAAACGGAACCCTCCTTTATATATATATACTTTAAAATAAAGAATATATACATAAGGATATATTTTCCCTATAAAATGGAACGAGGCAATTTTCGCCACGAACCCAGGGGGTGTATATCCAATCGTATTGTTCAACATTGATAAGTCCCGTGCAACTTCCACTACACGAACCGTATTTCGACTTAACACTAATCAGAGCCGCGCATACGAAGGATCCTATTATAACATCTAAACCTATATGTCTACTTACTTATAACAGAAAAGCAAACTTATTGCACGCACTCCTTTCAGCATGTGACGAGTGGTTAGTACCAATCCGAGGGAATATTCACCGTGTCATGGTGATTCACGATTACTAGCAATTTCTTATTCATGCAGTCGAATTTCAGACTACAATCCTTGTATATTTTTATCCTATTTTTTGAGATTAGCTAAAATTCACATTTTTGCATCTCTTTGTTTAGGAAAATGTGGCACGTCTATAGCCCACAATATTTAGGCCATGATGACTTGTCTTGATCCCTTTTATCATTTCCTATATAAAGGTGAACTGCTTTATAATATTTACAAATAAAGCAAGGGTTTACGTTAATTCCATGGAACGAACCACAGTTTCGCAACATCAACTGAAGACAGCCGTGCAACACTTGTATTAATAATTAAATATAGTTGGAATATGGTATTTACTATATTATCCATTATTTTTCTTTTTTCTCCCCCCCCGCCGCAAACCTGCGGGGAGGGGGAAAATTGAGTGCTTGCCATATCAAGCATAAAAAATAATATCATTATTATTAATATTCAAATTGTGGTAAGGTTTTTCGTGGGTCACCGAATTAAATAACATACTTCATTGCTGGTGTCAGAAACGGTCTAGTGATTTCAGTTCCTGCGTTGCCGCCTTACTCTTGAGGTGAAATGCTTACACTTTCATTTATAGACTAAATTAAAAATCTAACCTATGGCATTCATAATTGTCTGCAAAGACTACTGGGGTATCTAATCCTTTTTGTTCCCTTTGCCTTCGTCCTTCGACGTCAGTTTTTACATAAAAGATTGCCTTCGCCTTTACCCGTCCCCTAGGTATCACAGAATTTTATCTCTCCACTCTAGAGTACGACCTTCTTACATAAAACTCTAGAAAAATTGTCCCCTATATTTGGGCGAATTTTTCCGTCTGAGTACCCTTTAAACCTATTTATGATGATTAACACTAGTCTCTTACGTATTGCCGCGACTGCTGGCACGTAATTAGTCAAGACAAATGTACATATTGTCATTATCAATATGTATACAGAATTTTACTCGATAAATCGACGTGGAGTCTCCCCCCAATATGGACTAGAAGTATATACCTCATGTGTCAAGAAGACCAGGGGACTAAGGATCTTCTAACGATCACTCATCCATTTGCAAAGTTGACCCCTCATTCCTCCAAGTTACCAGTTCAGGCGTGGGCCCATTGACCAAGATTCCTCACTGCTGTACCTATTTGCCTTGGGATTTTTTCATTCCCAATGTGGTCGATCAGCCTTTTCAGCTTCGACTAAGAGAATTATTGGCTTGTTAAGCCATGACCTTAACAACTACCTATCTCTGAAACTTTTCTCATCCTCTTAAAGCGGATATAATATAAATAGGCCCCTGTTTTTTTCAACAGGTGTTTATTGCCTAAGATATCCTTTTGCAATATGAAGGATTTGCCTTCACTTTAAGTTAAGCGAAAAAATATTATACTCACCTGTACACCACTTTTAATTAAGAGGTTTTAGGGGCACAAGAAGTTCCCTAAAACACCCGCTTAAGTCAAAGATTAAACCTTAGCTTAAGCCACAATAAACCCCTTAGCTTAAGCCACGATGAAACCTCTTTCTTAGGCCAAAATTAAACGTTCGATTAGCATGTGTCAAGTATTTGGACAGTGTTCAATCAGAGCCATCACCAAACTCATCTATTTTTATTGATGTAATATCAAATTCAAAAAAATTTTTTTATTACATCTCTAATTATTTTTTAATTTTGGGCTGGCCAACGAAGTGACTTCGTTGGCCCAACGAAGTGCTAACGAAGTGGTAGGGCTAGCTTCGCCAGCCAATTTTTTTTTAACCGTCCCCCCCGCCCTGCAGTACTGCAGGGGAAGGGGGCGGGGTCCCCCGAAAGGGCTGGCTGGCTGGCTGGCTGGCTTGGTTTGTAGTACCTTAAGTACTCTTAAAAGTTATGGTAGTTTATATAGATAGTCGGTTGATGATATTTTTACATCCGTATTGAAGATAATATACATGAGATCTCATGTATACTCTTCACGGTGATTTTAGTGGTATCGTTAGAATTCCTTTTTTGAGTAATTCTAAGTAGCTGTCTGGAAAAAACCTCGAATAGACATTCAGCTGTAGCTACTTTCCATCGAACACCAGAACTGGTGTGCAAGATGGTGCTACCTCCTAATGTGTTAGCTACTTTCCATCGAACACCAGAACTGGTGTGCAAGATGGTGGTATTTTTAATGTGGTAGCTACTTTGCTGAAGTCTGTTCGACACTTATCACAGTATTGTGATAAGTTAGGTAAAGTTTCCAGACAGTAGAAAAAAAGTTAAACTCTATAAAATCTCCTTAACAATTCTAAGAGCTTAGTACGGCAAATGGGTAATGTGACTGACAAGTCTCCGAAGGAGAATTTCCCCAGAAGTAAGACCCTCTAAGCTCAGCAAACCTGAATAAAAAGGGGACCCATAGGTTGAGGGCACGATAAGTCAATTCTCAAAACACCTAGTACGGCAACACGTTAAGGACACAAAACAGTGTAAGATCAGGGAGAAACAACGAAGTAAGGGATCATCCACCCCGGAGGGTGGAAAGGGTGTGATTCCCCACGTTGTGTCGTTAACACCAGATCGCGTGAAGTAAGGCCCTCTAGGGGTCCCAACCTGAGAGGACTCAACTCTACTTCAAACAGAAGGGCTATGTAAAAAAAAAAAAGAATTCTAACTCAAAACCTTGGTTATTCACGAACAAAGTCAAAATATTGGATATTTATAAGATATCTTCTATTTTTGACAAAAAAAAAAAAAAGAGTGAGACACTGCAAGTAAGGCATAAAATTAAATAGAATAGCATGCGGAGAGCCTAGAAAGCATTTGAGACAATGCTGATTAAAAATACACAAGCGAAAATGTACACACAACGTGGAAGTGTGTCCTCTC